GAGTGGTGAATCAACCTTTTAGCTGCTTAGTCCAAAAAATATATGGGGTTTGGGAACGACCGATTGGACACTTATCGAAAATAATGAGAATCTAAGAGGAAGGATAACGATGGAAACAAGTTGGAGTTATGCCTCTAGTATTTATAAGTCGCTACGTGTAATAAGCATATTTATACTATAACATAAGTTGACAATTCTTTAATAAGCTTACCTCAAAATGTCATGATCATAACTTCTTATAGCCTGCGTGGCAGACGTTATTTAGCCTCGGTTAGTAACGTCTCCGAAGCAGCGCCGAGATCCTTGTTCTGGACCAACGGACTCAACGAATTACCGGAAATGCGTTTCGAATTTCCGTTCAACCTGAATGGCAAATTGACGATGGTTAACAGATCAATCATGGCGCATACTCAGAAGCTAGTACACAGGTGAGGATTCACAACAAGGATTTCGGCACTGTTTCACAGACGGACTTAACCATAAGTTAATTTCCGTCTGTTTCGCAGGCTAAACTTCTTGCTCATTAATGATTTATAGGGCTGTTAGCCAGTTGGTGTCGCTTTTCGTTAAAAAAAAACACGTATCTTGGTACCTATTGGAAAAACAGGTCAAGATACGTGTGATTAGTTCAACGACGACTGATAAAAAGTCTGATCAAGGTAGTTGGATTTTAATAGCAAATAGGTAATATTGGGTTTTTTATTGGATTTTTACAAATTAAGTAAAGATTACAATTTTAAGATTTTTTAAAGGCCGCTCGCTCATAACTCTTTATCAAAACAACGCGTTGAAATTTAACCTGCAAGCAAGCTCTCCATTTGGGGAATATCGTAAAAAGTAGACGCGCGAGAGGAGACGCGAAAGTGGGGGACGGGAAGAGAAAGGGGAGCTTGCAACGATCAACAACAACAACATAAGCTTTATTTGCATTACTATATGAGTTACAGTATTGCAAAGGCTTTAAGATAGTATCCTCGTTTTTAAGCAGAAGATACAATATGTAATGAAGGATGTTTTTTGCAAATATTAATAATTAATGGCAATCGACCTAATTCACTTCTACTTGCAACATTTGAAGCTTTATTGCTTATTTCTAGGTAACGCTTGCAAAATTTCAAGTGGGTTTTTTTCAGTTGGGGTATTGTCCCGATCACTCGTAAAGTTTCATTTCCACCCTGGAAACCCCAGGACACTGCAAAGCGTGTAAACTTTCAACGCAAACGTGCCGCAGATTAGAAAAGTTACAACCGCCTGTCAACTTTAGACAGCCGAGGGCGCGTAGAATTTATATATATATTTAATCGCTTTCGCAACATCTTTCCACTGCATCAAAGCAATGTTTTGACCACTGATATATTTTTTTATCCACGAGACATCGACTTTGAACGTGTCCGCTCGGATAAGAACTCAATATTTTGATTCTCGTTTCGTTTACATTTGAAAAGTCGACCACATTCAGAAGAGTAAGCTCCCCATCGCAATCACCAACATTATATATTTGTCCGTTCCGGAACTGGAGAACAGCGTTTTCTTGGACTTGGTTCTCCTACGTTTTACTCCAGTTGCTTCCTACTCTTTTTCTTGCCGTTCTTGACGGTCAAGCTACACAGCTATACTATGTACTTGTTTCTGAATTTTTCTACCCAGTGGAATTCAGTCAGGCGTGGAAACCGACGGTAATTTTAGTCTTATTTGAGTGTATTTTTTTTCTAATAACAAAGCCCCTGTGCTTGAGTTTGTGCGAGGGTTTTTTTTTCTCTGTGTCGTATTTCTTTTCTTTTCCTTTCTTCTTAATATGTTATTTATAAACGCCTTTAAATTTATAGTTTTTGTCCTGCCTACATTAGCGCTCTAGCTATTTGTAGGACATAAAAAAGTGTAAGCTTTATGGATCTTGAATACATTGTTGTTGTTGTGAAGATTTTAAACACCTAAGCGTCTAACAGTTACATTCAAGCAAGAGATAGCCTTTTCCACAATTACCAAGGTGTTCCTTTGTTGTTCCTTAATCATTAACATACTTGCTAATTCCTTTTTAATGACTCCTTCTAGTTCTACCTAACATGGCTCACGTTAAAACATCTATGTTTAGGTCGCTTATTCGCTTACAGAGGCCTACGTGCAAAGAAAAAACTCCGAAGTTGCCTTACTGAAGTTATGCCCTCTTCAATGCGTTTTGTTATTTTCACCGCTATTGTATTCTTCACACTAAAAGGTAAGATAACCCTAGTTCATGTCTTACTTTGACGTAAAGCTTTAAACCAATACTTCAAGCGCACACCCTTTAAAAAGCGATGTCATTGTTAGAGAAAAATGAGGACACTTCGCGAATAGGTACGGAATGGCCGCTCTAAAGAAAATCAGCCACACGTCAATTCAATATTCAGATCATCAGAGATTACGACAAGACACTACAACATATTTAACACCATTAATAGTCGTTCAAAAAACTACCTAAGGCCCTACAAATATAAACAAAAAGTAGTCAAACCTTACATAAAGAAAACTTTAGCAACCACGTCTACAAACTATCTAATCACTGTTTCTAAATTAACTATCTCGACACCAACGCCTAAACACTCGCTTGACTCATTTTCTATTTGGCTAAACGAAGAAGAATATCAAACACATAACTATCTATTTTTGAAATATTGTAATTACCTATATATCATAACAAAAGGAACCACAAAAAATCCAACATGGCAACCTGTACTGGCCTTAACCACACCAAACACGACAACTAATTGCTCCGCATCGCCCTGTGAGTCGCCAAGTGTCTCGTCGACCAGCCGCTCGGCCTCGCCCTCGGCCAGTCTGTCCCCAAGTGTCTCGGCCTCCACGTCTGCTAGCCTGTCAGCCAGCCCGTCGACCAGCCGCTCGGCCTCGCCCTCGGCCAGTCTGTCGCCAAGTGTCTCGGCCTCCACCTCTGCTAGCCTGTCAGCCAGCCCGTCGACCAGCCGCTCGGCCTCGCCCTCGGCCAGTCTGTCGCCAAGTGTCTCGGCCTCCACCTCTGCTAGCCTGTCAGCCAGCCCGTCGACCAGCCGCTCGGCCTCGCCCTCGGCCAGTCTGTCGCCAAGTGTCTCGGCCTCCACCTCTGCTAGCCTGTCAGCCAGCCCGTCGACCAGCCGCTCGGCCTCGCCCTCGGCCAGTCTGTCGCCAAGTGTCTCGGCCTCCACCTCTGCTAGCCTGTCAGCCAGCCCGTCGACCAGCCGCTCGGCCTCGCCCTCGGCCAGTCTGTCGCCAAGTGTCTCGGCCTCCACCTCTGCTAGCCTGTCAGCCAGCCCGTCGACCAGCCGCTCGGCCTCGCCCTCGGCCAGTCTGTCGCCAAGTGTCTCGGCCTCCACCTCTGCTAGCCTGTCAGCCAGCCCGTCGACCAGCCGCTCGGCCTCGCCCTCGGCCAGTCTGTCGCCAAGTGTCTCGGCCTCCACCTCTGCTAGCCTGTCAGCCAGCCCGTCGACCAGCCGCTCGGCCTCGCCCTCGGCCAGTCTGTCGCCAAGTGTCTCGGCCTCCACCTCTGCTAGCCTGTCAGCCAGCCCGTCGACCAGCCGCTCGGCCTCGCCCTCGGCCAGTCTGTCGCCAAGTGTCTCGGCCTCCACCTCTGCTAGCCTGTCAGCCAGCCCGTCGACCAGCCGCTCGGCCTCGCCCTCGGCCAGTCTGTCGCCAAGTGTCTCGGCCTCCACCTCTGCTAGCCTGTCAGCCAGCCCGTCGACCAGCCGCTCGGCCTCGCCCTCGGCCAGTCTGTCGCCAAGTGTCTCGGCCTCCACCTCTGCTAGCCTGTCAGCCAGCCCGTCGACCAGCCGCTCGGCCTCGCCCTCGGCCAGTCTGTCGCCAAGTGTCTCGGCCTCCACCTCTGCTAGCCTGTCAGCCAGCCCGTCGACCAGCCGCTCGGCCTCGCCCTCGGCCAGTCTGTCGCCAAGTGTCTCGGCCTCCACCTCTGCTAGCCTGTCAGCCAGCCCGTCGACCAGCCGCTCGGCCTCGCCCTCGGCCAGTCTGTCGCCAAGTGTCTCGGCCTCCACCTCTGCTAGCCTGTCAGCCAGCCCGTCGACCAGCCGCTCGGCCTCGCCCTCGGCCAGTCTGTCGCCAAGTGTCTCGGCCTCCACCTCTGCTAGCCTGTCAGCCAGCCCGTCGACCAGCCGCTCGGCCTCGCCCTCGGCCAGTCTGTCGCCAAGTCTCTCGGCCTCCACCTCTGCTGGCCTGTCAGCCAGCCCGTCGACCAGCCGCTCGGCCTCGCCCTCGGCCAGTCTGTCGCCAAGTCTCTCGGCCTCCACCTCTGCTAGCTTGTCAGCCAGCCCGTCGACCAGCCGCTCGGCCTCGCCCTCGGCCAGTCTGTCGCCAAGTGTCTCGGCCTCCACCTCTGCTAGCCTGTCAGGCAGCCCGTCGACCAGCCGCTCGGCCTCGCCCTCGGCCAGTCTTTCGCCAAGTCTCTCGGCCTCCACCTCTGCTAGTCTGTCAGCCAGCCCGTCGACCAGCCGCTCGGCCTCGCCCTCGGCCAGTCTGTCGCCAAGTCTCTCGGCCTCCACCTCTGCTAGCCTGTCAGCTAGCCCGTCGACCAGCCGCTCGGCCTCGCCCTCGGCCAGTCTGTCGCCAAGTCTCTCGGCCTCCACCGGCCCTGCTAGCCTGTCCGGCAGCAGCCTGTCGAGTAGTCCGCTCTTTTCGCTTGTTTCTGGGTCGTTGTTTTTTACTTTTTCTGCTAGTGTGCCTGGAGTATCCGTTGGAGAGAATTTGACGACCTTTTCGTTAGTTCCTTCTGTTTCTACTTTTTTAGTATCTTCGTCATGCCTGCCAGGATTTTCTGGGGTCAATTGTTCTGAAGGTTGGTTTTGTATTTTTTTCCTGGTTTGTTTTTTGAGTTTGATTCGTTTGAAGGTAAAATGGAATAAAGGAGTGTTTGTTTTGTTTTGGGAGCGAAATAGTTTGAATATTTTGGCTTTCGTCACTGTCGTATGATGTTTAAATATCCTTGTTAGTCTCGTAATAGTAATACGTTTGGAAGATTTATTATGTCATTTTTTTTAGATATCAATGATTGTTTGGGTGTGACATGCCTTAACAATGGCACTTGCATGGACCAAGTGAATGGATATACTTGTCAATGCAACGTTGGCTTTTATGGACTCAATTGCGAAATAGGTATTGTTCACCCAAGTTTCTCTCTATACTCTTACAGCTTTTTTTGCTTTTGTTAATGCTGTCGATTTGATGAGTTTTCAAGGAGTCGTTGACACGCTTGACACGATGAAACTTATGTTATTTCATATTGTAACTACCCTCATAACCCGGGACAGGACGAACCGATTATTCCCTTACTGGAGTTCATATTTTGGCAAAACAACTCCTTATTACTCTCTAATTTAAATATGATGACGCCAAATTGTTTTCCCTTTTGCTGAGGATTTTGACAAACTAATAAGTACCTCTTATTAGCCGAGTTTTCGGTCCGTACTTGTAAATTACGGATCCTCGTTTTTTTCCATCGATTTATGAAGCGCTTGGGCCATAAATGGATTGAAAAAAACGAGGATCCGTAATTTAAAGTACGGACCGAAAAAACGAGGCTAATAAGATGTTTATTATATGGCTTCTTCCTGTTTGGGGGACCGGAAACAAGTGCAGGACGCACGATTTGACAGTCATTTGACAGGTGTCAAAAAAAGAAAGTTTTTATTGGCGGACGAAAACAATAGCACATAACAAAGGCTTTCCGAGAAAGTGAAAACAAATTCGCCATGTTAAAAAAGTTTATTCGGTCAAAAGTAAGAACACTGTAAGTTCTAGCTCTTTAATGTAACGCTGGAGTATTTTGGAAACCGGACACTGTGTCTGTCTAGAAGTAGTTTACATCTTTCCTTCGTTTGTCCTTGTGAAAAAACACTGCAAAAGGCAAAGAAGCTTTTCAAGGTAAGTTCGTTGTCATTGTCGAAGGAATCGCTCGTTAATTGTTTTTGGGAAAACCTCTCTTTCTGCCACTTCATTCTCGTCTTCAGTTGTGATCTGCGTTAAAAATTTTCAAACACTGACTAGAATTCTCCTCCTCGGTAAGGTTACGATTCAGTTTCTACAACAGCTTCGTTCTCACAGTAAAACAAAGCTAGGTTAAAATTTGGAAAGGCAAAGTCAACTTTCCAGTCCTCAGGGTTTACATACATATTTCAAAGTTTATTCGTTGGAATTTAAGAGCGCTGTAAGTATTCACTCGTTAATGTGGCGCTGGAGTCTTTTGAGAACTGGACATTATTGTGTCTGGCTCGAACTCGCTTCTATCTTTCTTTCGTTGGTCTTTGAAAAAACATTGCAAATGGCAAAGACGCTTGTCAAGATGATAGGGTGCAGGTATGTTTGTTATCATATTTGTTGAAGGAATTACTGATTTTCTCTTTGGCAAAACATCTCGAATCTCTGCCAGTCGATTTCAGTCTTCTTAACTGTGTACTAAGATAAAATTTTCAAACACTGACTAGAATCCTCTTCGATAAGATTAAGAGTTGGTTTCTTCATCGCCTTCGTTCACAAATAAACACAGTTTAAACTGTTGAAGACCAAAGTCAACATCCAAGTCCTCAAGGTTGACAGGCGTCTTATAACTTTATTTAAACATTTTTTGCGAGGTAAAGAGATTTAGACCTCCGAAATGAGCATTTTCTTGAAAAATTTTGGTCCGTATAGCAAGTTACGGACCGCAAATTGACCAATCGCATGGCGAAAACAGACTCAGCCATATAATAATGCGTTATACGTTTGTACAGGTCCCGATACTTACTAATGTTTTGGGAGTGACCTGCTTTTTTTTCAAACAGAGTTTTCAATTAAGGTTTTTTTATCCTTAGACATTGAATTATAAAGAGAGCCAAAACCATATATTTCTTGTTATTGTCCTCTAGCGTTGATGTTTAAAAAATCGTCTGTTAACAATCCATTTTAGAAAAATTCATTTTCAATACGAAACAAGTCATAACGTGACAAATGTGAACATAGGTATTTTCTCGCCAACGTTTTGTGATATATACTAATCCCTTTAGAGTTTGGTGACGTTATTAGTTTATTCAGTTTTACTCGATTCGACGTGAACTGCTACATCTGTTTCAATTATTTGTCTTTTAATACGTTGAATTATCTGTTCTAGTAAAGAAGGGCTCGTATTGAGGATCGTTTGTTCTTTGAAAACATTTAGATATAAACATGTACAAAAACAACCGTATTTATTTAAGAGCACAAGTAGTGTGACTGAAATGTTCCTAAAATCCTTTTAAAACCTTGCTTTCTTTGGGTTGGTTTTTTTTAGCCTTTTTCGTGTTTGGAATGGCGAATACAAGGTAAACCAAATTCGCTACAAGAGTTTCGCTTAAAGCTTACTTTTTACAACCAATACGAAAACTGAGTACTTTTTATAACGTGTTTTTTCTTTCATTCTCGATCAGAAAAAGAATTTCTATAAGATTCAATGTATATTTTGAACCTGATAATGCAAGGTCATACATCATCTCAAATCTTGAAAACATGCATTATCGTTACAGAAATGAAATAATTATGCCCGACTTCACAAACAAAGTAAAATCAGGGAAAATATAATTACTCATACTCACTTGCTATGCAGTTCCTGAAGGCCAGTAGGTGAGGTCAGCAACGCTTACGCTTTGCTGAATGAGCTCTCAAAAAAGCGGCCATTGATAAATCTCGTTGACTTTATGGAACGCTTTTTTTAAACAAACACAAAATAAACAAACGAGCCCTGAACGAAAAAAAAAACCTGATAGCAGCTGTATTTAATTCTGTGGCGGCAGTTGAGGAATACAAAAGTAAAAAAAACGTAAAATTACACAAAGCTTTAGTTTTCGATGCAGCACAAATATGTACGAATGAATTAACCAGTCAAAATTCTGACCAAGCTTGGACAAGATTGGTCCTGGAGCGTAGCTAAGGTATAAGGAAAGCATAATTTTTTTTACCGGGGCGTCACTTAACAGGTTTGCTTTTCTCCAAAACAAACCCATAATACATTTCCCGGATTCCCTTCCCCTCCTTACAAAGTCTCCGTTCCCCATTTACTAGTGTCTGTGGGGACGTACGTACGTACACTGCGCTGACGTCACAAACAAATTCACAGGGTTCAAATTTTTATAGCAGAGAGGCTAGCGTGGAAGCACCTCTGACAACATATGCTTACGAAATAAGGCTATGTAAATATCTGAAGGAGATTTAAATAGCAATTAGAAACGTAGCAATAAGTGTTTGTGAGGTAAGGCGTGAGCGTTATCGCTTTGATAGTAAATGAAGAACAACGCGTTGTGAAAATACGTACTTTCTAATTCAAGAACCATATACCTTGCCTTAAAGTTTCAGTGAAAAGCAGAATACAACTTGACAGAAACTTGGTTTATTTTACATCTTTCTCGTAAAGGGTATGATGACACGTTTTCTTATTTCAGCTCCAGACGCGTGTAATCCAGATCCGTGTGAAAATGGAATATGTTCTATAAGTGGTGACTCCTACAGTTGCAGTTGTGACCCAGGCTATGAAGGCGAAAACTGTGACATAGGTAATGATATCAATTTGGCACTTTATGTGTCATGAGAGTATTTAGGTGAAAACTAACGGACGCTGAATTAATAACGCCCTAATCTGGCGAAATTAATAAATACATAGATTCATCAATATCAGAGTGCTAGATAATGTGCATTATTAAATAAAAAATGCATTCCCGAAAAATGGATTTTGGAATTGGTGGAAGGGAATTTACACATCTAAATATTGCTATTGAGCCTAGACCTATGATGTTAGCTCGCGTGCCCCTTGGTACATTGAGGAAATCAAGGAGCAGAAAGTGACCTGTCGTAGGCTTGAAAGGCGATGGCGTCCTTCCCGACTCACTTCCAACTATTAATCTTATACCGACCAACGCACTGTTGTAAAGCACACCATTTTCAAATCAAAAATGGATTATTATTCTAGCCTTATCTATTCAGCTGAAAGTGACAGCAAAACCCTGTTTTGCACAATTACTCGTCTTCTTCACAGGAAAGCAGATAAACGTTTCCCTACCAGCTCTTCTGCAGTTGATCTCGCCAATAAATTAATCCACTTTTTTGAGGAGAAAATCGTCAATAGCAGAAGTAATCTTGGTACACCTGTAATTCCTGATTTCTTCAGAACCCTAGATACTTCATCACTAACCTGTCAGCTTGTAAATTTTTCACCAACTTCTATTACCGAACTGTCGAACATTGCTAACAATGTCATCATGAAATCCTGTATTTTGGATCCGCCTCCCGCCACCCTACTGAAGCAGCAATTCGATTTACTTTTACCAATTATCCTGAAGATTGTCAACTTGTCACTGAAATCCGGTCATTTTCCGTCTTCTTTGAAAACTGCTGTTCTATCCAGTCTACTTAAGAAAGCCAACTTAGATCATGAAGTTCTTGCAAACTACAGACCTATTTCAAACCTCAAGGTGATCTCAACAATTATTGAAAAGGTCGTCACAGTACGTCTTCAAAAATATTTAGAAGCTAACAAGCTAAATGAGCCGCTATAAACCTTTCCACAGTTTTGAAACCGCCCTTGTGCGCGTTCACAATGACGTTTTGGTTGCTATTGATAAACGTCATTTTGTCGTGCGTCTACTGTTAGACCTGTCTGCTGCCTTCAACACTGTGGATCACGATATCCTCCTTACAAGATTGCACTCTAAATATTCTATCTCTGCCATAGGTCTTGAATGGTTTCGCTTCTACCTTACTAATCGCTCGCAATTTGCGTTAACCGAAGGGTGTAAATCACAGTCTCGCGAGCTCAAGTGCGGTGTACCTCAACGTCCTGTCCTTGGACCGATTCTGTATGTTCTCTACACAGCACCACTGGCCGACATTCTATGATTCCATGAAATGCACTTTCACTTTCACGCCGATGACACTCAATTTCATATCTCTTTCTCTACAAACAACGATATGGAATTAACTAACAGTATCACTAAGATTGAGGAATGCCTGTCCGACATTGATAAGTGGATTTCCATCAACAGACTAAAAGTAAACAAAGACAGGACCGAGCTTCTCTACTTATTCTCAAAGTATAAGTCACAACAATCTCTACTCCCGCTTCGCTTTGGAACTGACATAATCAAGCCCTCTTCACATGCAAGAAATGTATATTGGCTCTACCACTATGTCAATGCTTTCCCAAGTCAACAATGTTTGTAAATCTGCCTGTTATCATCTTCGCACCATTTCCCGCATAAGGAAATACTTATCAACGCAAACTGTTGAGATTCTTATTCACGCCTTTGCAACTTTCAGACTAGATCACTGCATTTCTCTGATATATAATGTCGCCAAAAGCGTCACCAAAAAGCATCAATCGGTGCAGAATGTAGCTGCCAGACTGATTACACGCTCTAGGAAGTGCGATCACATCACTCTCATCCTCTTCGATCTTCACTGGCTACCTGTTTCTGAACGAATTAAATTCAAGATTCTACTTCTTACCTTCAAGGCTCTGTATCAGCAATCTCCGCCCTACATTCTAGACCTAATCACCCGCTACTTACCGTCTAGATCGCTTCGATCATCTTCTACGCTCAGTCTGAATCCTCTTAGCTTTAACCTTAATATAAGACCTATGGATCTAGAGCATTCTCTGTCTCAGCCCCCGAACTTTGGAACAAACTACCTGATGACATACGCTCATGAGAGAATCTAAGTCTTTTTAGGCATAGACTTAAAACGTACCTTTTTAAGAACTTTTATTTTAGTCATTAGGAAGTTTTATTTGATTTTATATGTTTTATTAAAATTTAAATTTATTATAATCAATTTTAATTCTAATTTTTTCACTTTGTTTAGCGCCTAGATCTATTACTGGATAGACGCTATAAAAATCTTCTTTTTCTTCTTCTTCTTCTTATTATTAAGAGTTATTTCCATATATTTCTTGGTTGCAATACTGGCAATTAAACACCAGTAATGTAACCTCCTCAAGGATAGTTTCTTTTTGCCGTGTAAGTGGTAAATAGTTTGTTTTTAAGGGTTGGCAGTGCTAAGGACGACTGAATGATAGAAGCATATTCCAATGTGACTTGACTAATAGCGACTTCACATTGTTGGAAACAGAATATTTAGCAATATTTCTTCTTTCTTAGAGCAAGAACCATTACAGTTTGAAGTTCAGATGGAAATACTTGAGCTAGGCTCTTCTTACGACTCCTCCCTGGCTAACAATGACACAGACAGTTTCCGCGCTCAATCTAACACCTTAACCGATGACGTTTTCGAGCCATACTTCAGAAGCCAATTTCCAAGTTTTGACAGAATGGAAATTATTGGCTACTACCAAGGATTCCCTGGTTTAGGAGTTCGATACAAACTTTACTTCACCGCCTCCTCTAATGTAACAAATGTCAGCATTGCTCTTTCTCTTCGAGAAGCCAACAAGACGAAAGACATAAATTTCTTCACCATTGGGGGAAATTTGCAGGTGTCCGAAATACTTCCGATCTTGTTATCAACAACACCGGCAACTACCATAGTACCTCCAGGTATGTTGACGTATGTTGACGCAAATGTGATATTTTTAGATAAATGCATTATTTCTAGCAGTAGTCTTGTCATTTGTGTTGTAAACCAGACACCACAATGACGCATTTTCAGTTTTATGGACCTTATAGAATAAGTTAGTCGAAGCAATCGTTGCATTACCTGGCGTGCTACCCTATGTAGTCGTAGTTAGTATAGGAGAGTGGTTATGAAAGCCGGCAAACATCACCGCTGAAACAACAATTCTGTACTTTATGTTGGAAGTTCCCTAACCGTGCACAATCCTTTGTTTTTTTGTTCACAAATTATGACTGAATAAATTATTGCGATGTCGTCACTGGTCAGCATGTTCAAAATTATAGGGATGCTGTTTAACGTTGTGCACAGTCAATTAAAAAAAAAGCTAACAAAAACATATAACAAAGGAGTCTAACAGGTTTCATAACCATTCCACTTTAATAACTATGGTGTAGTTCAGTAGACATTTGACGTAGAAAACGATTTTCTATTTTTGTTATTCTCAACAACTAACAACCTGTTTTCCTACTATAATCAAAATTTCATGTCACGTGTGAAACAAAAACGCGTTCTTTTCAGCACATCAAAAGCAGCTGTACCTGTTTCGGTCATTGAAATGATCTTTGGGCGCCGCAAAGTGAAAATGTTGACCTTGGAAATTTAGATTTTCTCGAGTCCGCAATTAGAAATTTATGTTCTCAAAATTGTGACGTCATTTTCTCAACACGCCCAGCAAAACAAACCTAAACAGTGAGGAAACAGAAAGTGATTTTCAAAGTGTACATCTTCATTTACTGGCATCCACTATACAGAGTCTAGCAGGTTTATTGGACGGGAGTTTTTACCTATGAAAGTGAGAGCGTGATGATAGCGCCATGTTGTTTTCCATGTTGCACCCAAGTTTTGGCGAAACCTCTCCGGAATTAGATGTTTCATAATTTCAGCATTAAGTAAAATAAAATAAAAAAAATTGACTGCATTGCTCCATTGCCTACGACACAAAAAGGTTTTTTCAATGAAACTGCTCATCGTTCTACGGCATATCTTCCTTTTTTTTCATTATTTCTATGAACTGAATTAAAAGTATGGGCAACTTTGTCGGGTCATTTGAATGTATTATTTGTTGCTGACATATTAACGGCGTTCCTACATTTCACTGCCTTTGAATTCCTTATAAACGTTCTAAAAGTCCGTAACATGTTTTGTCGAAGCTAAAGGAAATGTTCTATAAACTATCGTATTTACATTCACAGCAATTTTTCGTCAGATTTTAGTAAGCCCTACACATTTACATTTGTATTCGATATAATGGGGAAACTAAGACGTAACTCAAACAGCCGACCTCATACCGGACGAACCCAATGTTAATGATATTTTCTCTCATAAGCAGTAGGTTCGTAACACGTGATGTTCTACGCGGGACTCTGGTCTGATTCTTGTTTTCCTGTGTGAATGTACTTGTATTATGCTCTATTACAGCTACAAAGACCACATTACTACATCCAGGTCTAGTGACTTTAGCATATATATTAGCAACAAATGAACATAGAGGAGAACGTAAGAAACATAAATACAAAATTAATTTACTTACAATCTCAATTACAGGCAATTATTTATTCAACAGAACCCTCCGAAATTGAGCTTTGGATAATCATTCTTGTTGTTAGTTTAGTTCTTCTCTGCTGCTGCTGTCCACTTCTTTTGTTATTAGCGGTAAGTGAAAACTTTACTCATAGGAATCCGTTAGTTCCGTATCTTCTTTGTCTTTGTCTTGCAAGGCTGAAACCTTTTCCACATGTGTCTCTGGTCGCAGTTATAGGTTCCGTTTAACTGACGCATGTTATTGAGTCTTAATTTTTTCTTTTATTTTGCAATAGTAAGGAATAATAAGGATGACTCTCTGTTTCTAGGGAGAACTGTTTGAACGCAGAGGTCCACGCAACGCGGAAATAAAACTGACTGGTTCCTCCTCCCGGATCTCTAATTAAAGAGATGCTGTAGCCAGACGTCACTTAAATTGTAAAATAAAACAAAACTGAATGCAAGGCTGGCACTATGGCAAAGGGCTGATTTACTGTAGGCCAATATTTCGGCTATTTGCCTTCCTAAGGGCCAGAGCTATTCCGAGAGAAAATATCTTTGAACGGCTCCTAAAATTTATATTGGAAATTTACATAGGTGGTTAAGAATTAACTACAATTATAAATGCTAGATAGAATGATATACAGGCCGAAATATTGTCCTATAATAAATCAGCCCTTTGCCATAGTGCCAGCCGTGCATTCAGTTTTGTTCTCTGTTTTTGTTTTTAAACCCTTTGTAAAACTGTGTTAAACTTAATCATTTCAATATGCGTAGGTCTCATAAGATGATTAACGACACCGCAAACGGCGTAATATCTTCAAAAGTGGACCGTTCACTAACTAGTGCATATTTATTTACTTATATGTAGTTCAATATGTGAGCCTTATTTTCTCTTTCCTACAGCGGAGATATAAGCGCAAGCGTTCTCAAGATGTAGTCAATATTAATGACTTCTCTGATTGGTATGCCCCAGGTTTGCGGGCAAACGGCCAGTCTCCGGTAAGTAATTATATAACGAATACTTAATACATTTCTCTCAGTTTGTGTAAATGGGGCGTGGCCTTTATTTGTACCCAGTAAATGTTCTTTTTAAGGTAAGCTAATGAAGTGGCGTGTATAGTATTTTATGGCATTAAAAAGAGAAATTAAGAGCAATAACAAAATGGACGACACAAATTACAAAGAACAAATGTTAATTTGAAGAAAAGTAAAAGTGACGCTTTGAAGTGTCTTTAGAATTTAACCGTTGATTGAAATACTCTTATACGGCTTATTTTGTGGTATGAATCCTTAAAGGAAAATTTCTTTGGATTGGTTTTCATGGTTTCCAGACGGAGTTTCACAGTCACCAATAATACTATTATAAATAATGAAGGAAATAAACATGATATATCTACAAAACAGCGTCAACGGAGAAAACAGGTTAGTTTTCAAGATCGCAAGAACGAAAATAAACCAAAATTTCTTAGCATTAAAATATGATATTACGCAGCATTCTCAGAGACTTAAGAATGATTGGAGTCATTTATAACGTTTTTATCAAATAATCTATCACGGCTATTGAAAATTTAAGGTTTGAAATACATTTTCGTTTTAGTGGAATTTAAACAAACAGAATTTTTTACTTCTTACGTAGATTATTTGCTAAACACCAAACTTTAAGTTCCTAGCGTTGGATTTTCAGTAGCTGGTCCAGATCACACAAAATTCGGCTTTTATCAGTTTCAAAGTTTTTTGTTTATTGTTGTCATAGTAATATCGATTTTACTTAAAACTGCATTTTCACAAATTTCAATCCATAGCCAATTACTGGTGAAAATTTTATAGCGATCGGACAAGGAATAAACCACTTTTAAGGCGATTGAAAAATATCGGTATGGCCTCTGAAAAACTGTATCGAAACACCTTAAGGGTGTCTTACTAAAGTTGTCGCTTATTGCAAGCACTGTTCTTGAGAAACGCAATTGGTCTTAGATAAGCAACAAAACTTTATTGGGGGTCAAAACTTAATTTTGGCATGCGCAGTTACTTCGTGGCCCAATAAACGCTCAAGTTTGCTTATGAAATGAACGTAAAAATTTGAAGTACTGCATAAGGATTAATGTAGTTTGAAGAACTCTGAGATTATTCTAAAGCTAGAAAGTGCGTTTTTCCGCCGGTAATTTGCAACATGAAAGTCTCTACCGCGTTTTAGATGCAAACCTACGGTTTTAAAAAGAATGAAATAACAAACACAGCAGCAGAGGTTTTGAAGCTATTGTATGTCATGATAGCGACAAAAAGAATCGAAATAGCCTTTCAAAAACTGTGGTGTAAATTATAATTATCGGATTTTCCTGTCACTATTTTTAAATGGTCGTTTTTGTTCGCTTAAATTGTAACAAGCATGTAATAGATATGTGTATGATTGATGAGGAGACGATTCTCTACTCATAACATTCTTTTACTTGTTTTTTTTTGCAGGCCCTTTTTGACGACTTAGTAAATGAGGCGATCATTTAGGACAGTAGATTAAATTAAAATTAAATTAAATTAAAATCTCAATTGGTCCCCTCTCGAATTTCTTTCTTAGACGACCTTAGGCTCGTTTGTACTACTTCATTTCAGCATTATTTTTGTAGAATTAATATTTAAAGAGTCAACGAATTGTATTGATTGCTTAATTTAAAAGGAAGTGTTTCAGGGATTTTTTTGTATTATGAATGAATGGATACTTAAAACGGACCGTTAATCGTGCAATCGAAATAATTAAAAGAGAAGAATATTCGTGTTAGTAGGAAAGATTTTATTTATTGCGAATTTTCTTCTATAAAAATACTTTTCACGAATGAAGAGAAACAGTTTCATCCCAAAGTAATGACATTTCCTATTCATGTTTCAAAAAATTCAATTAAGAAAGTTAAGACAGTCTTGTTATTTCATAGTTAGAACGTAGTAGAATGTAATAAAAAATGTTATTAATAACTGGACTATGGCTATTCAATGTTCAGCATTTGATTGGCTCATCTGAGTAGGGTTATCAAGGAGACTAATAACCCATTTTGACCTAATATGATAAGCTAGGGGTACCTTGAGGCAAGAGCCAACGAGGCGACCCACCGTGTTGGGTTTGGAGATATTAATGGGTTGTCAACATAAAAAATCGCGTCCAATAAAAAAAATTGCTCATATTTTTTACTACAGTTCTGACTACGCAAATGGCAATCTGATCGGACCTTTGACCTTTCCTACGATTTAACCGGGAAACCCCTTCTCTAACAAGGTACCCCTAGCCCTGTCTATATAGAGCGTTTTCACATGACGTCACGGCGGCCATATTGGTGTTTCAAAGCAATGAAATGGCGGCCATGTCGGTGTTCCAAACCAATCCTGTGGGAGTTGAACCTTTTTCTTATGTCAAAACTTTCTTTTAAATGGATGATTATCATCGCAGTTATATACTAAACTTTTGCAGCTGCGAAAAAAAAGCCTGATAAAAACCCAGGCTTGTACGGGATTCGAATCCTTGACCTCTGCGATACCGGTGCAGCGCTCTATCAGTTAAGCTAACAAGCATGCCAACTGGGAGCAGGTCGTTGAATTGGTTCGTTTTTTCCCCGTGAAAGGGAGTTTTAGTTTCTTTCGTTCCAATAAATTTGCATAGATGCTGGCCACGTGAGTGAAAACATTCTAAGTGCCCTTCATGTTTAGCATGTGCTTTTAAAATGTGCCACTCCCCGAAGAGTGCCATAGTACATTTACGATTGAATACAGCACCAGATTGTGGCCTAGTTGACGGGTAGGGATGACGATTAAGATAGCGTTTTCAGAAAGTAAATTAGAAAACGTCAAATCGTACAAATACCACGGACTAATACTAAGCCCACATAGAAATTTTAATCTCGCCACGCAGGAACTGAAAAAATTTGCATCCAAAGCTCTGCATGAATTAAGAAAAGAAATGGGAGGCCACTTGAGAGATAATGTTAATTTAAAGATAAAATTATTTGACACTCTTAATATATCCCCCATACTTCTCTATGGAAAAGTAATATGGGGCATTGACTGTAACGGAAAAATTGATAAAGACCCCGCAGAGCTAGCGGAGAACAAATTTTTAAAATGGCTACTGGGTGTAAATAAATAATGCAATAATTATGTGTGTAGGGAGACAACGGGATGGTCCCCAATGAAAACTGACGTCCAGTGTAGGAATTTTATGTTCTGGTTATCTCTGATCAAAGAAGAAAATAAATTATCGCAAATAACATAAGATGATAAAATGGAATGAAAATAAAGCCTTCACAAGGTGTGTTTTTGGGCTGGAAGGCTTGAAAATGTATGAAGGCTGCAGATGAGTGGTCTACATATGTGGCACCAACAATGTTGCTCGAAAAAATTTAGTTCCATGATATTAGTTTGAAAAGCTACCGAACTCTGTATGCAAAATGAAACGAATCAGGGTCAAAAAATAAGGTCTCTTGTTTTAAATAACTAAATAAATAAATGAAACTTTAATGGCTGTCGCAATTACTGGTAAACCCAGTAGTTTACATTGTGGGCCCAATCTACAAATAATTCTAAAATGTAAAAGATATCGTTAAAAGAAGTTAAAGGGCAAAAAATTGAAACCGGTTAAAAATTGCTACCTGACATTGTTTAGACTGTTTTGCAAATTGTGCTGAATATTATCGATGGAGTGATATGAAGTCCATAATGTTGTATCATCGGAAAATATTTCAACGTCAGAAGCTGGTAAACACAAGGGCAGATCATTAATGTAAAGTGAGAATATAAGGGACCTAAAATCGATCCTTGAGGGACGCCTTGTGTCAAAGTGAGTGGGTCAGATAATACTCCAGAGATGACGTAGGTCTGAGTTCGAACACATAAGTAAGACCCAAACCATGTCAAGGTTGGCTGGCTGACTAGGTATTTAGCGATCTTAGATGACAAGATATCTTGGCTTACCAGGTCAAAGACTTTGCTAAGATCTAAGAATACCGACCCAACAAGCTTACTGTTATCCATAGCTTAACAGGGTAGCGAAATGAGCAATTTTTGTTTCATACAGGGTCAGGTTTTAAAGACTTCGGTAGCGCACCTACACCCAAACGTCTCTTGAGTGCCCCTCTCCCCCTCGGGGGGGGGGGGCGGGGGGTACTGTGCGTACAGCTAGGAACCTGTGCGTCATACTTACTTCTGGACATGTATGTTGAAACATTCGAAACGTCAAGTTAAAGTTTTCTTTCTTTCCAGAAATGCGTTTATGTTTCCTAATGTTATTACTGCTTATCAGTGCAGTTTGCTTTTTGTTTCTTCTATTAAACGATGGTCCAAAAACAAGAGTATGTGCGTCATATCTTCATATTAATGTTCATCGTCGTGTATTTTACATCGACATCCGCCGTAATTTATATATACCGCTGTATTCTGCGGTGAGGTTGTGGGCTCATGTTTGAACTCACGTGCAGGCGACAGACGGAATGTAAACAAAATATTGGCCTTAAAACAAAATCCTGATCATTATGATTGTTGGTTTGAACAGAAAAGAAAAGCTCCAAACTGGGAAGAATGTCTCAAGATTTGAACGAGTCTAGAGTGAAGAAAGTTTATTTCGGGCACTTTACTGTGGTAATAGCTACCTCGCTTATTGTACGCAAAGGGAAAGATTTTTCTTTGAATCTACAGGAGAATTTCCTTGTTTAATACGGTGGACTATACCTACTTGACACGATGCCTGTGGAGCTGAATAACGACGGCCAAAACTGGTTGATTTGAGCGTATTCCCAAGATATGAAAAGGATTGTGGAGCTGGGACGGGTGTACAACATCCATGCCGACGGACTCATCGTTGTGATTACAGCCCAGTTTTCAGGGTGGATTGGTGATGGCTCTCGAGTGAGAACGATTTTGGCAATTGTCACAGGTAACTCAAAAAAATTGTTTTCTACAATTATAGTTAATTTCCAATACTTTTTTTATTTCTTCATTTGAGTGCTTGTAGCCATTTTGTTTTTCGGTTAGTAAAAAATCAGGACAGTGGACTGTGGACTGCGGACTGCGGATTACGGACCGCGGACTTGGTATAAAACACGGACAAGGCATAAAATGCGGACTATGGGTTTTTTTATTTATTTATTTTTGAAAACTCGGCTTATTATTTCCAAGGCTTTGCAATGGACTTGTGGCCAGTCGACCTCTGTGAATTTATCACAGAGTTAACGCTACCAGAAGTTCAAACTCACTGACATCTCCAATGAGTATTTAAAGTGAAAACATTATAATTTGCTGTCTATGTTACTTAAGGAGCTGGTTAAAACATTATTGAGCGTTGGTTTAATTTGTTGATTCACTGCCTTTCAGATTCCTATCTTTCACTGGTTTAAACCTACTAGCCCCGGAATTCTCCTCTAACTCTTTTTTTATATCAAATTCAGTGTTTTATTCGCAGTATTTTTAGGTAGCATTAGTTAAGGGCTTTGTATCTGTTTCTGCACCCACAAACTTTGGGGAGACAAGATTGAGTGATAAGCCAAAAAAATGTTTGTATTGGAGGCTACAACCATTGTTTTATGCTAATCCGCAATATTTATCTTATTATGATCTCCGTACAGATTCTTTTTAAACACCATCAGTATTCCACGTTTAATACCCTATGCTATAGCCAATTCATAATTTCTAGTCCGCTTTTTATATGCAGTCCACAAAGCATAATCCACAGTCCCAAGTCCATTTTTTTTAACCAACTAATATTTACCATAATTTCATTAAGAAGGCACCGGAATGTTTCCACTGACGTCATCTTCCTATGTTTAGCTTTTGTTACATTGAGGGTGGTGAAAAAAGGGGTCGTAAAGCTCTGTTTAATCTCAGTATGGTCTGGGTTAAATCTAGATTATGCAAATACAATTGTTAACACATTTTGAGCTTTAAAATTATACAGTTGTGTTGGGTTATTTTTGATGAAGAGTAGTTTCATTTGTTAAATGCCTCAGTGCAGTCTACGTGTCTTTTTCTTCTTTCATTTTTTCAAAATAAACTCTTATCGTTAATAGCATTACTGAGGTCCTCAGGTGGCGCTGGACCTCCTGTTACCAGCAATCACCGACAGTTTTGATGAGAACTACTCCACCGTAGCACTCCAAGAAATGTAGAAGATGAAAATGCCGTTTCGATATAGAAGCATCCTTTCTCTATGGAAGCAAGGAAAGAAGACATGGATCATTATATATGATTCTAGGAAACAGCCCACCTACTCCCCTAAGCCACTATTAACACTTACTTTTCACTTAGGGCAAAATGTTGGCTTAGGGGGAGGGATAGTTGGGCAGTTTCCCAGAAACGTCATTTGTTTCATATGCTCTTAACCAGACCCCAAGAAACTGTATTCTAATTCAAAAAGCCTTAATTTAATCTGCGTATTTTCTTCTAAGCACGTATTATATTCATTTGTCTCACAGCATAAGGCTCATGTTCCAGTCACTGGCAACGTTCAGGTCAGATGTCCATCGCATAAGGAAATTTGTCATCTTTTCAAGACTTCCGTCTTTTATGGACTGCAAACAAGTAAGTAGTCACTACTGTAAGGTCAAGGACTTTGGGTGATAGATTTCTTTGGACGAGCTGGCAGTAACAATTCAGTCTGTACATCAACATTTCAGTTATTTTAAGAGGAGAATAGATAACTGAAAATTATGTCTTCCTGGCCGTAAACATCCCTTTTTCATAAAGAAGCATTGTAAATAAGATAAATGTTAAAAAAAAGGATATACTCATCTTTTATTTCCATAACCTAAGTGCTATTCTGAGTAAGTCTTGTCTTCATACCACATCATGAAAGAGCTAGTCCACGCAAGAAAAATGTGATGAGCGCATGCAAAAAATAGAAACTTGAATCACGGATTGTGACGCGTTTTACTGGCTTTATTTTCTCAAAAGTTTACGAAATCTTGGAAGAAAAGTACAACTTAACTGACATATTTCCAGTGTCGTAATATCTCAATGAAAAAGGTGATAACTGAAATTCAAAAGTCTCTCAAAACCTTCTCAACAGGATAACTAAAAAGTTTCTTTCAAATTTTTCTTTCCACATTTTTTCGTTTATGGTGTATTTTCAATTCGGTGACGAGAGATTATTGTCCTAACTTTCACCGCCACGCGGCAGCCGTTTGAAATTATTTATAAAGAAGCAAAAATGTTTTTTTTTCAGTACCGCCGAAACCCTTTATATGTACGTACAGTAGTCTGATTTTGACAGAACAAAAATGCTTTATCCGGGGGGGGGGGCAGGGATGGGAGTGATAGCTTGCTGGTGCCTTGGCCAGAAAATGACTGGAAGTAAAACGCGCGAAAAATATCTGGTCATCGTTCTTCGATTAGGAAACATTCAAACACGTACATTGTAAAGCTTTTAAATTTACCCGGACATTCAGTGGATGACATCAGGATTCAACCTATTGAACATATCACACGCTAAGCTAAAGATGAATACTGGGACATTTCAACTCTTTATACAAGCCTACCACATGCCAACTCCATGAACTGTTGGAGAGACTCTTCAACACCAGAGGAAATAACTTCTTCGCCACCAATAATTTTCATGCTTTCTGGACGAATGATAGGAAGTACACTTACTTTTCCTGTAGGAAACTTTGACTCGCTATTGACTTTCTTATGGACAAAATCTACGTCTACTTCGGAAACTTCTTTTTCCGGCAAGTTACACGTATTTGTATGGCGATGGGCACTAACAGTGCACCCTTGTTGGCCGATCTGTTTCTTCACACCCTTGAGTATGACTTTCTGCTTAACACCATGAAGAAAGATAGACAAAAGCCATCCACTTTAGCAACACCTTTTGACATACATTAACGGTTTATTCAGCGTTAACAATGAGGAGTTTGGAAAATTACATCAGCACAATTTATCCCTGGGAATTGGAACTAGAGGGCAATTTCACACGAACAACTGAAGTGTGTTACCTCGACACAAGGATCAAGCTTGGTGACTACAACTCACCTTTTCATGTAAGCAGCTACGCCAAAAGAGATGACTTTGCATTGCGGATCGTGAATTTTCCCCATATGGACAGCAATATCCCCACCAAACCGGCCTCAGGATTTGCACGTCAAAGGTGGACTTTGTTGATAGACTTCGCCGACTTTCTTCGCGTCTTAAATCAATAACACTTTAAATCCAGTCTACGTCTAAAAACCATTAACAAAATCTTCAGGCGCCATGGGTTATCATCGACAGGTATGAAACTACACTGCAGGAGATGAGACTAGTTAATTTCAGTTAGAGTAAGTTGTGTGTTTGCGCGCTCTCTTTTATTATTCAATTGACGTGCGTATTTACATTGTGGGTGGCTCCTCCTAAAATGTTCTACAACTGGTATCGGATTTAATGGAGCCGAAACCAATTGCGGTATTGCACACATTTTATGCATCCTACTGATGAACAGTTACGCTTTTTAGATATTTCGAGCAACAACAATTTGCTGTCTGTCCTCTTTGAATTGAAATTTTTATATCAAGGATCATACGGGAGATTATAAATTCTGATGCGACGAAACCCAATATAGAATATATTTTCTCCTAACGCCGCCATTATAAAACCTTAATGTTGTCTAAAATTTAATTATTTTTTTATCGCGACTTAGCTGAGTAGATGAAAAATCTTTCTAAAGATTTTCCAAGCTTCAACCGCGCAGATGCGGTGACCTCAGGAGACAACTACCTTTCGAAGCTTTTTTTTTTTTTTAATAAACTTTTCAAAAAGCGTTAGTTGTTGACGAGAGGAGAGTGATGTTCTTTTGATCCAAGTCAGCCGCCATAAACATTGTTGTTAATCTCATTTAACTACTGGTGCGTACGATGTAAGGTGGCGTAAACACTCAGTAAACTAAGTTATTATAAAGCAATTTAATCTGGTTGCAAAGTTTTTAAATGAAAACAGCAAAAAGTTGCAAAACCATAGATAATAGAAAGACTGGATAGGAAACGTTTGTCACATGGGCTGATTTCTTATCGCCGATTGGTTGGTTCTTGCTCCAAGATGGCGTTGAATGGTTCCATCATAGTGGAAGTTTATGACGAAACGATGGCGAAAATGTGGCGCAAACGGGGCAAACCAGTGGAAAACTAGAGTTTGTTTGCCTGCATGTTGTTCTTTTTCGGAGTTTTTGTTGTCTTACGGCGATGGCGATCCTTCAAAGCCACACTTGAACTAGGGAACTTCTTTGGAATTCCGTGGTTGGGACTTAAATCACTTTGCCAAATTTGGGATTTTTTGGGGGTATTCTTTAAATACCCTAAAATATCCAAAAATGGGAATCTGTTATTCAGTTTTCCCGTGAGCATAGTTATAGACTGAATGCTGTTATTTTTCAGCCATAAATTTCGATTGAAAATGGCTGAAATTAACTACATTCGGAGCTGGCGCCGAGAAAGTGTACGCACACCGTGTGTAAAGTTCCAATCGGCAGACTAGTTTGTGTTCAGAAGTGTTTCGCTCAAGTAATATGCTAGATTAACCCTGCTAATTGTTCGTAGAGCAGTATGTTAATTTCTGTTAATGTTGAAATTAAACTACTAAATTTCATATCCAGTGAATACAATCGCCTCACGTCGCTCCTCGCAGCTTGTATTCGAAGGCACTGAAGAGACTCGAATAATTTTTGTCCTTTTCCATTACATAAACTAATAATTGTAGCATGAATGGGAAAACACGTACTGACATTTTTTGGACTCCGCCTCCTAAGTGTTGTTATTGTTTTTTTAAACGGTGTTTTAGTTTTCCTTTTGTTTGTCTTTATTGTAGGATTTGCTGAACACACATAGTCAATGAAGACAGTAAAATTGTGGTCAAGTACTCTTCTGAGAGGGCACAAATCAATCAGTCTTTCTATATTGAACAGCAACAAAGTTGCTTTTGTCATGCATGAGAGCCAGAAGGTGGCATTTAAATTATATATGATCAGAAGCTTTATTTATCACTTCTGCCGTGTATTTGTTACGTCCTTCCGAGTGGGACAAATTAACTGTGTTTGAGAGTCACTGCTTGAGGTGATTAGCTACAGAGTCATGTGTTTAAGTTCGTTAGTGTTCTTCTCTCAGGGGCACCCAACGGCAATTTTCGGAAAATATCTGTTCGGAAGACGATTTGAGATCTAGAATTTTCGGAACATTTGTTGTAAAATTTCTTGCTTGCTTGCTTCTTCAACGATTTTCGAACATCTAAAAAATGGTATAATTGCCCATTTTTAACGGATTTTTACCCTAAAAAGGTCACCTAGAATTTTCGGGAGCCTTTTTTCTGGCTGAAATTTTCGAAAAGGTAAGTTATGATCCCTATAATTTTCATATCACTAGACTCTCAGCTAGGAACTACGAACAGATGAAAAATTTTTAGGGGATAAAAATATGCCTATATCTACCGTTTAAATACTAAAATATGTTTAACAATGCTATGTTTAAGTGGTTTTGAACTATGTTCTCGTTGGGCACCCCTGTTCTCTGAAACAGACTTTATCTGAATCACATTGTTTCTCAACCCAAAGATAGACTTTATTAGCACTATTATTTTATTCGGTTTTTTAGAGATCCAAAGCAACAATGTAGCTCTAGATGATAAACCTTACCAAGATATATTCTGAATCAAATTAATAAAACATATACCTGAACTTGTTTGGCGTCGGATTTTTGTTTTCAACAACATGATTATGTGACCAGACGGTCATATTTTTTCAATCTCTCATCCACTTACCTCAGACTAAACAAAGACCCTTCTATAAACAGCTTCTATTTTTCTTTGGGAACAGTGTTTATGTTTATTTATACAGTATTCCCTATCGACCCTATCCACATCATTAACACTACACAAAAACTTAAACTTTGTTTCATCCTAAAAATGGTCATTATTTCAAAGATAATATATTTCTAAGTTTTATTTAGCCTTATGGAAGACAAGTGTTTTCTCGTGAAAAAGAAGTGAAGGTTTTACTGTTAACCAGGAGAGTTTGCTTCCCAGTTGTATTCTAGTACTTGACAATTAACCGTTTTACATAACATTTTTAAAAGCGTTGCAGTTCGCTTTTTCAAAGACCTGACTCAAAAGTACCTTGGGTCTTTGTACATTTATACTCGAAAATTACAAAACAACTTGCTTTTACATGAAAATTGATTTGAAAAAGTTAGAAACAGCCTTTCCACAGTGGTCCGCAAGCAAATTTCATCTCTCTGCTGTGAGCTTTTTACATAGCTTTTTATCCCCGCTTTTTATACGTTTCTCAAATACGGCTTCTTGTCAGTGGTTGCCCGTAAATAAAATTGCAGGGAAAATTAAACGCTTGTTTGAGCTGGGTACTTGAAACATCAAGCCTCTTAGCCTCGACAGTTTTACGGGTAATAAAATCATTTTGTCGAGGGTTTTTAACTTATAAAATTCAACACTCGCTGAGTTTGTCGATAAAAGCAGAAAAGAAATCGTCGAAACCGTGATAAAAAGAGTTAATATTACTTTCGGTTTTCTTGTGCCTTTTTTTATAAGTGTTTTGTAGCAGTATACATGTAAGTGTTCGCATAGTTTTTATGTAATTAAGATTCCCGTTTGGTGCATAAAATTATCGGGCACTGGAGTCATTCTTCGCTCTCACAAGTTTCATAACCATTTACTCTGTCTTTCGCCTAATTTGTACTCTCTAACTGTTTTCTCTAAGAGCAAGTCCTCTTCATCCTTTACTTCAAAACATGGGCAATATGTAAAGTAGAAGTCAGAGATATGAAATATGCGACGAAAAATAAGACGCACAAAACATCGGATGTAAGAGGTTGAATGGCTCTCGATAATGTGACGTCACATTTTTCCACATGTTGGAACCGATCGCGTCAGCCAGTTTCCTATCCAGTCTTTCTATTATCCATGGCAAAACCAACAGCAAAACCAACAGTTTTAGGGGAATTTTTTTTAAACCAAGAGGGGATAAAGCTTTATCCTCTCTTGTTGAGACTTATCGCTCTCTTATGGTTTAACAGGACCACTTGTTAACTAATCTGTTCTATTCATGAAGCATAAAGTTGGTTGTTTGACTGCGCCATTTAGAATATAAATAGAAGAAAGTTTAAGCATACGCTCTGATTGGTCAACCAGTCATTTACTAATTGCTCAAATTGGTACACACTGACGAAGGGTAGTACGCGCTCAAGGGAAACTGAACTGTTGCGGTGGTTTACAAGACTGTAGTATCCCTTTGCGAGGCTGATTTTTTGGTGCAAGGCGGGAGGTTTATCGCATCATAAACTGTACCTTTTTTCCTTTCTTCACGGCGGAAAGGTTTGCTTGTTTTGACGAAACACAACCCAGTAGGCGAAGTATTTAAAGAATTTAAGGTGCATGTATAGCTATGACTTTGCGCATTGTGGTCAAAGAAATGAGGCCTAAATGATAATCAATGACAATGGAAATGGGCTATTGACTTTTTATCGATGTTTACCATAACTTTAAAAAAATACAAGAAAACGCCTCAAGATTTGAGAGATGCATCAAAATAATAATAATAATAATAATAATAATAATAATAATAATAATAATAATAATAATGACAATAATAATAATGACTTTATTAACGTGTCAAACAAAAATCTAGCAGAGGGGATTCCCCGCTGCTAATAGGGGACACCTAACTTTCTAAAATACAAAACGTATCAATATAGAGTCGAAACTAGAATCTGCTAAGAGTTAGAATTAAAACTACTGATGATAACTCACGAACATACATACTACAAAAACTCCATTTATACTTATCAAAATTCTAGAATCTTGTAATTAAAATCGTAATTAAGAAAGGCTAAAATTACGAATTGCAAAAGTAGCAGCCACTACATCCATCTACTATGTTACTTAAATGAAGACTGGGTATCCGGGTCTTAAACTGCTTAAGAGTGGCAGCTGATCTGTCCTCGAATTGAGTGTTTTCCGTGCGTAACTGTGTTAAAACTAGGTTAATAAAAATCTTTCTGCTGTAAATTGTAAGTGTGGCTGTTGGTCAGAAACATGTCACAAATAGTCCGCGGGCACAAATTAGATATATTATACCTTAGAATACATATGTCCTTTGTCTCCTATTGTACAACGATGGTAACTTTGCTTTCACTAACAGCTGTCGGTAGCTAGACTGCTTATCTTT